AATATAATTTATGAATAATGTTTTATAAATAATTGTCTAAATATTTATTTTTTTAACTATTCTTAGAAATATATTTCTGATCACATTTATTAATTTTATATTGTATTATAATATATAAAAAAATATGTGTATTAGGTTGTGGTCCTAAATAATTAATACAGTGTTCCATATTTATTATATTATACAGAAATATAAAATAGGAAATACATAATAGTAGATACATATATAGTAGGAGTTTTTTTTAAATATAATTTATGAATAATGCTTTATAAATAATTGTCTAAATATATATATATTTTTTACTATTCTTAGAAATATATTTCTGATCACATTTATTAATTTTATATTGTATTATATGAATTTAAAACATAAATTCATAAGTTAATATTAAAAATAATTGTATAAATAATTACAGTATTTATATATTACAGTAATTTATAAATTACAGTATACTTATAAATATATACTTATTAAATATATATATTTTTTAGAATATTTTCAAAAAATAAAATATTTTACATAATAAATAAATAAACAAATAAATAAATATTTTATGTAAAATATATATTTTCAGAAATACATTATATTTTCAAGTCTGGAGCACAAACAACAACACACACTGAACATATAGTGCTAGAGGTTTGATTACATCACTAGAAGCTCTAGTTATAGAGATACTTGACTTAGTAAACACCACTAATCAGAGTAAATCCATGCTGCTGTGATGTTTGAGATACTTGAGTTATCAAAGGCACATCATGATAACACTGTGATCTCACTCTCAGTGTGAAGAGCATCAGTGTCTCACCATGTTCTGCAGCCCACGGTCAGCAGCGCCCCCTGCGGGACAGTGACGGCCACAGGTCTGTCTGAGCCCTGATGGAGGAGATGGACACAGCCACACTGATCCGGACGAACACATGATCCGTTCTGCTGCAGGAGACCCTGGAACACACAACACAGCAACTCGGAATCTTCATCTTAACCACTGAATTTAACTTTTCAAATAAATAAAAGAATACAAAATAAATAAATTAATTAAAATTACAATAATAATGATTATTATTATATTTGTATATTTATTATTTTTATTTAAATATTTATTTTCTATTTATTTGATTTGTTATTTATTTATTTTTATTCAATTATTTATTTTTTTGCATTTTCCTGTTTTGGGAAATTCTCACTATTATGAAATTCTCTCATTATTAACACTTTACAATGAACAAATGTATTTTATTAACTAACATTAACGCAGATTAATAATGCTGTAAAAATCTATATTGCACATTATCATTCTAATAGTAACAAATGAGAGCTCGTTGTAAAGAGTTACTGAAAAGCTTTATGTGAATTCGTGTGAAATGCAAGCAGTACAAACCTCCGCACAGAAGCAGCCAGGTGTGCAGTTCTGGGACGAACACGAGTGCGTTTGACCCGACAGATCACAGTGTTTCTCACATGGAGATCCACATTCAGAGAACAGGAAGGGTTTCTCACAATCTGACAGACACACAGACCAATGTAAGAGTGAAATCAATTACATAATGAACAAACAAACAGCACAACCACTGAAATACTCAACGTATGTAAATAATCCTTTATTCTGCTCGCACAAAACATGCTATTACCATAAAAATATACATGAAAACCTCTGAGGAATTATTCTTGTGTCATGCAAATCTCACTTTTAAGTGTGCATGTTGTGCACTGTATATTATATGCATGGTCTTGTAGTGTTTGTGGTGTAAAAAGGTCATTTGATTCTGGTAATCACTCAGTAGCACACTATGTAAAATGGCATTAGACTCTGATCACCTGTGCAGTTGTCAGGTTTACAGGGCCGGCTCTGTCTCTCGAGATCAGAGCAGTGCTGCCCACCGCTGGCCGAGATGAGCGGTGCACGAAAGCGCTGCTGATACTGAGACACACAGGAGCAGTCGCTCCACGCACTCCATTCAGACACGGGACAGGCTGAACATGGGGAACAGATGCACATTTATGGGTAAGACATCACAGGTGAACAGAGGAAAACTAATCAATGTCATCATACATCCCTGGTTAATTAAAAACAGTACATTAAAGGGGTCATCGGATGCCCATTTTCCACAAGTTGATATGATTCTTTAGGGCAGGGGTGCCCAAACTCGGTCCTGGAGGGCCGGTGTCCAGCAGAGTTTAGCTCCAACCCCAATTAGACACACCTGAACCAGCTAATCAAGCTCTTACTAGTCATACTAGAAACTTCCAGGCAGGTGTGTTGAGACAAGTTGGAGCTAAACTCTGCAGGACCGAGTTTGGGCACCCCTGCTTTAGGGTCTGAATGAAAAGTCTATAACATAGTTTGGTTTAAATTTCTAAATGGTAGTGTAAAAAACACCTTTTTTTACCCTGTCAAAAACAGCTCTTTTCAGATCAAGCCGTTTTTGTAGAATTTCCCTTTAAATGTTGAGAAAGGGGTAAAGATTTTAGTAGATTAAATAATAAATGTATAATTTTAGGGTGGTTGTGTACACACACTGCCAACACACATTTCAGTTCAAACAACTTGTAAAAGTGCATGTAGCATCCGATGACCCCTTTAAGACATTACATTTTGTACCAATTTGTTTCTCAAATGTTGTTTAAATATGAAAAATAATGCATTAAAAATGCATTAATTTGCATACATTTCTAGAACAGAAATCTAAACACTGGATAAAGCCATTCAAAATTCAGTAACACTTTAGTATAGGGACCACTATCGACTAGTTGCTTATAATTGGCCTATTATTAACATATTGGCTGTTTCTAAAGCACATATTCTGCATGAGCATATTCTACATCCCTAATCCTAGCCAATACCTGAACTTTACCACCTTGCTAACTATTAATAAACAGCAAATTAGTAGTTTGGGGCAAAAGTCATTGTTAATGGTTTGTGAATAGTGAGAATGACCCTAAAATAAAGTGTGACCCAAAATTCTTGTTTCATTTTTTTTGACATATTAAAACCGAGGAGGTTTTGGATTTCTCTTCTTATTACTCTTTAATTTAGAAAATACTGTCAGCACAGAAAAAAACACATTTGAACTTGTTTTCAGGAATAAAATGTTATATAAATCAGTATGAACAAACCCCTCTGTAAAAACCTTCAATTATAGATATGAATAAAACTGTAAAGTTTGGTGTATGTAAGTTTCAAGACTCTTGAGATGCAAGACTCTTATGGATTGTAATAGATACAATGTAATAAAATAAACACTTAAATGTGTATTTTGTGTGATTTCTTTCCACTAGTCTGAAAGAAGACAAGTTAAGGAAGCAAAATGGTCCAAAATCTCAAAAACTGACCAGTGCATGAAAAGCAATAGTTTTGCATGTAGCATCTTGCCTTAAAAGTTAAATCTCATTGGTAAAACATAAATATTCATTAAAAAAATGACACACATATTTGAGATATTTACATATATTTTACTGTAGATATGATATTTTTTCCCATTCCTCCTCTAGCTTGCTTCCTAATCTAGCTGTCTAATGAATCTGGTATAATATATTATGACTAGTGTTGGCTGTTTGATGAACTTGTTTCTGCTTTATTGTCGTTTACCTGGACAGGGTCTCTTATAACACAGCTGCGTCTCCTCTGCGTCCCTCTGGACGTCTGGAGGACACGCGGGATCTTCTGTCTCCTCACACACACACTGACGGCGTCTGGAGATCACGCCTGCGCCGCAGCTGCGCGAACAGGACGACCACGGGGACCAGGGGCAAAGGTCATCTGCAGGAAACAGAGGTCAAGAAAAAAATGCATCCAAATAGTTCTAGTTAATCAAATAAAAGGACATATTAGATAGACAAATGCAATCATGTTGATTGTTTTGTATTAAAAACGGGAAAAGGTCTGTCTAAGTACCAAGACAAGGTGCAGTGTGACAGTTCTGGGTGTCTCTCTCAGGTCCAGTGCAGTCGGTGCCGTTGTTTCGCGGTGGAGGGTTGATACAGGCGCGGGTGCGGATCTGTTTACCCTTCCCACATGTCACGGGACAGTCTGACCACACAGACCACGGGGTCCATCCACCGTCCACTAATACAACATAAAATCATTTATGTTTATGTGGAAATAAATAAATATTCTTGGTTCCTACAAGCCCATTTGATTTCTATGACATTTCCTGTTGTTTATAATCACAGTGATTTTTAAGAATATAACAGAAATTGTACTCACAGAAAGTAATTTATAGCTGATTAAACATATAATACGTTTCCATGACTTTTTTAAATGTTTGTGTTATTTTCTATTACCTTTCTAGGCCTGAAAATGTATAAATTATAATTTTTATTAATTTATATTGAAATTAAATTTATGTTAATTTATATTAGTATTTATATTAAATGTATATTATATTTATGTTATTGTTAACTAAAAATTTTAAAAGACATTTTCGGTTAGTGAAATCAGGTTGAAATAAAATAAAACAAATATTAGACAGTCAATTTAAATGAAAATTGAAAAATGTTGCCTTGGCAATGAAATGAAATGAAATGAGTTTAAGTACTAAAAATACTAAAACTAAAACCAAATAAAAATAAATTAAAGCTAAAATAATAATAATAATAATGACAAAAGCGCTTAACAAAATTACCAAAACATAACCTAAAATTTTAATTAAAACTGACAATAAGAAAAAAAGCAGATTCAAAATAATAGTTATGACTATAATAGTACATAAATAATACTAAAATAACACTGAGGACAATTTCTAAATGAATACATTAACTTAAAATACATTAATACATTTTATAATAATATAAAAATTAATTAATGTATTATATAAAATAAATACAGTTTATCTCACACACATATGTGACCCTGGAGCACAAAAGCAGTCTTAAGTCGCTGGGGTATATTTGTAGCAATAGCCAAAAATACATTGTATGGGTCAAAATTATAGATTTTTCTTTTATGCCAAAAATCATTAGGATATTAAGTAAAGATCATGTTCCATGAAGATATTTTGTAAATTTCCTACCGTAAATATATCAAAACTTAATTTTTGATTAGTAATATGCATTGCTAAGAACTTTAAAGATGATTTTCTCAGTATTCAGATTTTTTTGCACCCTCAGATTCCAGATTTTCAAATAGTTGTATCTCAGCCAAATATTGTCCGATCCTAACAAACCATACATCAATGAAACCTTATTTATTCAACTTTGAGATGGTGTATAAATCTCTATTTAAAAAAATTGACCCTTATGACTGGTTTTGTGTTCCAGGGTCACATATATTCTATATAATAAATTAACCTAAATTAAAAATGATGCATACAAATATAAATAAATGAGAAAAGTTATAATGTATTTGAACTGTAAATGTTTATAAAATGACAGGCAGGACATACACACCTCGACAGTCTATATTTTGGCAATAGTCTCCTTCAGGGATGCAGGTGCTGAAAACACACAGAAAAGATAGAGTTTTTGCTGAACTTTGTAAAATATTGAATAAACATTATCCCTTTGAAGCCCCTAAAATAGTCTTTTTGAAATAGTTCCCAGTGTCTCTCACCATTGCTTACATTCCCCTTCTAACCACGTGTCTCCGACAGACAGTTCCTGCTCATCATGGACACACAGCGGGGGACACACGCCGAGGTCACATGGTTTGTGCTGGACTTCCTCGAACTGGCAGTTTGCACCGTCACCCTCAGGAACCAGAGATCTGGAAAACAGAATAACATATTCTCAAAATCCTGCATTAATGGAGCCTCCATAATGAATGCTGTGTGTGAATCACACCTGAATCGAGTCCTCTGTCCAGGGCTGCAGGTGGAGCTGCAGGAGGCCCAGGTGGACCAGGAGCTCCAGGTGCAGCTGTGCTCTCCTGCGCAGCTGTGATTAGTGCAGGTGAGCCGCCCGTCTGCGCAGCTGCAGTTGTTGCAGTCCACCTGATGTGTGCTGCCTGCGGCCCAGCTCTGACCCAACGCATCCAGACAGTCACACTGCCACGTCTGAACACACACGCCGTCCTGCTGCAACTGACCTACACACACACACACACACACCCAAACACACACGCATGCATGCACACACACACACACACACACACACACACACACACACACACATAATACAAGCCGTTTTTCATGCAGCCTTTTTATGCATCAAATCTCAAAAACAGTACTGTATACTGGCAGAAAATAATGGTTTGGAATGACACAAATATAATTAAATTTGCAGTTTTGGGTGAATCCCTTTAACCCTCAGAACACAAAATATTAATACTCATGAAGTATTTTCAAGTCTTTACGAAGCCATTATAATAACCACTTTGTTTAGGCATAATATGCATTTGGGTATAATTTGGAAAAATGTAGCAAAATTGCAAATGCTGGGCATTTAGGGTTACAAAAGTTCACCACTATTCTTTTGATACAGAAAGTTTTAATATGTACATTTGAAAAATCAGGGCATGTAAGTTTCTTCCTGTGACTAACTGAATATTAATATAAATAAAAAAAATAATATGTCAAATAATGTTTTGTCTGTTGGCAGGCGCTATTTTGTGATTCGGTGTTGTTACCTAGAACTAAAACTATTAAAAATTATTTTGGGCAATTTAAATAAATCTGAAATAAATAAAACAAATATTAGATGAAAAACTTAAGCTTAAGAAAAGTAAACAACAATTAGAAAGGTTGCCTTAGCAACTAACTGAACTAAATAAGTCTAAGTTGCACTAAAACGACTAAAACCAAAGCTGAAATAAAGCTATGTAAAAATATTTAAAATAAACAAAACCTAATAAAAACGACAATAACAAAAATGACTAAAATTGAAAACATTCCATTTTCACATTCAAAATATGAATAATTACTATAGTATACAAATAAAGCTAAAATAATATGCAACAGTTATATACAGATTTAATTGCTTTCTAGAAACATTGCAGCCCTGTGTCTGTGTCTCACCTCGCGGGCAGCGGCAGCCCGGCTGACACTCAGTGTTTCTCTGGCACTCGATGCCCTGCTGCAGATCTGAGCAGCGCTGAGGACACTCATTAGCACACGACACAAACTCCTGTCCCGCCGGACAGCCCTCATCATCTGAAAAACACACACACACTTCATACATTCTGATCCAGCTGAACACTATAAAACCTTCTCTATCATATTTGACACACAGGCTTCTAAATGATCAACATGACCCATACATCATCTACTCCATGCTTTCTGTCGTCTGAATGATAGTTTAGAGTTTTTTAATCGAGTAAAAGGTATTTTAGTGTAAATCTACAAACGTCCTCCTTCAGCTGCTGCTTCTCATGTCTTTCTGCTGTCAAATCTTGACTGATTTTTATCAAGTAAACGTCAGAATAACTGCAGTCATATTAGCGTTTGTTTCCAGAAGCTTTACTTTCACTGTTCCTCAGCAGAGGAATGATCTTCACAAGCCTCCAGAACATCTCACATCTTCTGAGGAGCCTTTATTTCTTCATCTCTCAATCAGCACTGGATTGCATTGCATTATATGTTTGGATCATTTCAATCTCATTTTATGGAGACACATTATTGGAGATGTGGATTGAGAACTGATATTTATATGATCTTATGTAAGTATCCGCTACACTGTTATAAATATCTCACTGACTTACATTACAAGCTATCAGAATTTCATCATACTTTTTGGCCATATAAATATCATCCTCTGCATTAAATTGCATATTTTTGCTCGTTTTGAGCTTCTGAATAAAACTGAGGTCTTTTTTCCTTCATAATTACACTATATAAGGCTATATGAGCCATAAAATCTGATGGATCAAATATGATACTCAACATAAAAACATGCAAACTTGTTTTTTACATTTTGTCTAAAGGTTCAATAAATTGTTCAATTTAAGTAAATAAAATAAATAAATAAATATCTTTTTTATTATTTCATACATCTGGCTTTACAGGGTTAAAATGCTCAAGATGTCTCAGATAAATCTCTTTAAATTAAACATTGACCCTATTATTTATGTTTAAGCATGTTCCTGGTCTCATTGTGCATGATTCATCAGTTTAAATTATTTTTAAAAATTGTTTTCATAAAGCTTTCTCCACCTCTGAGACAACAACTCTTGTGGACGATCAAAAGCAATATGAACCAATAATATAATATCCTGCTTTCATGACAGTATCAAATCAAATGACGTCCTAGTGAATCTTTCAGAATGTGTTGTGATGCTATTTTAGTATTGACTAAATCATTTTTAGTGCCATGCTGCCTGTGTTATTTCACTGCTGCTGCTGGTTCAGATGTGAACTCGTACCGCAGGGTTTGGTGTTGCAGGGTTTGACCTGGTTCTTCTCTCCTGTGCATTTGCGGCCTCCGTTTTTGGGTGGAGGACTGGAGCAGGAGCGGGTCCTGATGGAGCGTCCACCGCCGCAGGCTTTATCACAGCGGGACCAAGAGCTCCAGCGAGACCAGCCTCCGTCCACTGAACACAACACAACACTCAACACATTACTGTCTAACCACTTGTGTTTATATATCCTATATATCCTATGCTATTATGCTTCTCAGATAAGTTTCCCCTCTTGTTTTAAGTTTGTTAAATATTTTTACTCAGACAACAATAATAATAAAGAAAATGTTTTGTGATGTAAAACTAACAATAAACTGCAAAAAAAAATAAAAATTGATCTTTAAAAAATATACTTAAGAATAAATAATTATACAATGTAATAATTATTCAACAAAAATAAAATTAATACATAACAACAACAATAAAAATGAACATTTCTATATTTCTTTAATAATATGGAATTTTTTGTGCAAACTTTTTACAACGTAAAACTAACTATATATTGCAAAAATAGTAATATTAATTATTTAATAAGATTTGATATTTACAAATATACTTATAACAAAATAATAATCATCATTATAAAATAACAATTAATAATAATAACAATAGTAATAGTTAACGTTATATAATATTATATATATTTATTTAATAATGTTTAATTTATGCAAACGTTTTTACAATGTAAACTAACTATACACTGCAAAAAAATGTTGAATAAGATTTGATATTTACAAATATGCTTAGTAAAAAAAAATATAATAATTATTATTATAAATAAAAAATGTTTTATTATTTATATATTTCTTATCTAATCATCCTTAAAACAACATACAAATATCTTAAAAAAATTATGTGATAAAAGAAGACTTGTTTTTGGAATATAGATTTTTATCTAGATTTTTTTTTTACAGCTCTGACTCATAAATGTATTCAGGTGTTGTAATATCAAGATTTAGACAATAAAATCTAAATGTACAAACAAGTGTTTATTCTCTCTCTTTTTTTTAACTCACCGCGGCAGGCCCGAATATTACAGAAGCGGTTTTCCACGTTACCACCCAGGATGTCCTGGCACCAGGTCCCATTGACGCCCGGGGCGAGGAAGGTGCGGACGCGCTGCTGCTGTCCCACGCCGCAGGAGCGAGAGCAGGAGCTCCACTCACCCCACATCATCCAGGAGCAGTTCCTGTGAGCGCATTCAGGGCCCGGACACACACCACCATCTGAGCCACAAAACACCTTCACATTACACACAACACTACACTAGAGACACGATTAACTCCACACAACAAGCAAGCATGTATGTATGCATAGTATGAGAATTTTCTGTATGCATCCCACAATGCAATGCACTTGATTTCACCTTCCATTTACATTACATAAGCAATATATAAACTGTAATTTTTATTAAACTGCCTGTATTTACTGTAAAGTAAATAGAATATAAATAGATGTTATAATGAGAAGGCACAGATATTGAGGTTAATATCATCAGAGGGATGTGCAGATTGAGGTGAGCTGTACCGGGACACTGAGGCAGGTTACAGACTCGATCCTGTCGGGTTTCTCCAGAGCAGCGTTCACGAACACACTCCCTCATACGGACCTTCAGAGCAGGAGAAACCGGATCACTGCAGGTTCTGGAGCACGGAGTCCACGCCGTCCACTGGGAGAAACCAGCATCCTCGTCTGATGAGAGAGCAGAGACTATATTACAAGATTTTTAAATAAATAAATAGTCTATTTATTATTATTAGTATTATTATTGTGAATAAATAAACAACAACATAATAATAATAATAATTTATAGAATGTTTACATATTATAATCATAATATATTAATAATAACAACACCAACAAATAGATTATTTATTATTAATAACAATTTATTATTAATTATTATTTATTATTTATATATATAATTATTTATTATTAATATGTAATAAAATAAATGTAATAAATGTATTTTATAAATGTTAATTTAAATAAATGTAATTTATAAATGTTATTTATAAAAAAAATGAATAAGTAAATAAATATTTCATTATTACTGTTGTTAATAATAAAAAAGCAAACAAATAAATAAATAATCTCTTATTAAATTATAAATAATCTAATAATTATTATTATTAAAACCTAAAATCACTATTATTGCATGTAAATAAATAAATACAAACATTATCATTAATATTGTTATTATTAATAATAATGTAATGAATAAAATAAATATTTATTATTAATAATAATAACAACAACAACAACAACAACAACAATAATAATAATAATAATAAAGAATTTAAAATAAAAGTATTATTATTAATAAATGTATCAAATAAAGAAATAAATAATTTTATTATTGGTGATGATAATAATAATAATAATAATAATAATAATAATAATGTAATTAAATAAACAAATAAATAGACAAACAAACTACTAACTAACAAACTGAATGAATGAATGAATGAATGAATTAATGAATTTACACCTAGCCAGTCATTACCTGGTAAAGATGGTTCCTCTGTCGGAACTGTTACCACTGTAAAGACAGAACTTCTGAATTACTATAACAAATAAGCAGTCTAAAAACGAATATAATTAAAAAAATTATGCATGGTTCTATCAATAACATATTTCGGGCATGTACGTGGGCAGTCGGGTGTCTGGCAGTAGGCTGTGTCCAGCAGGGGCCCGTCACAGTCTCGGCCCCCGTGAGCAGGACTGGGCCGGTTACAGGTTCTGCTGCGAGTCTTCTGACCGAGACCCCCACAGCTGAGTGAACACGGGCCCCAGGGGCCCCAAGGAGACAGACCTCCATCGCGGGGACACGGAACCAGAGAGCAGTTCCACAGTCCATGTTCACACGAGCTTCAGAAGAGACACAGATATATTACTGACAAATAGAATATTGAAATGAGAAGAGAATAAGAAATTAAATGTCAATGAATTTTTCTGTTACCAGGAACTGCATTCATGCATCAGCTCCTCTCCAGACATCAGCTCTGACCCCAGTGTGATGTTCTGGAGGTCAGGGGTCAGGTCAGGGGTCGCCGAGACACTTTGTAAAGAGGTCAGGAAGTCAGTGTCCACCAGACATGGACATTCCTACAAACACACACAACAGCTTCTTAAAACCATTTCACTTACTTAACTACTTTATTACCACTGCAATGCAAACTAGGTCAAGAGTGCTGTCAATTGATACAATTTTTTTTTTACTAATTAATTGCACATTTTTTCTGAATCGCGATTAATCGCAATTAATCCCACCTAACATTCAAGTTTTTAAATATATTTTTATATTGCAATAATTTCACATCAAATCTTCAAATGAATGTACAAACAACATAAAGACAGTATATGTTTAATATTTGTTTAATGGCATCTTTTTTTTATGACTGAAGGCCAGTATCACTGATACCAATACTACTAATGTCTCTATAAAATAGTTTTTTTTCCCACCTAATATTTAACCATTGACTATAGCCATTCAACATTACAGTATAATTGTAATAATATAACATATAGTTATTGATTTCCTCTTTTTTTCTTTTGTCCTTTGATTAACAGACATCACAGCAGCTGGTTATTAGGTTGTTTTGGCTGCTATTACTTTAAGAGCTGCCGCTGCTGAACATGACGCGGATCTGACATGCTTCAGATTTTCTCTCAACTCTCTTCACCTTTTCTTACCCACTTCAGGTCTGAAAGTCTCTATTAATGAGCTGACGAGTTGAATCGGGTGTGTTAGATGAGGGAGACAGTGCTGGGCTGCTCCAGGACAGTTTTGAAAACCATTTCAGAGACATGTTCTTAAATGTGACTCATATATAACATATTACATGCATGCACAGTTTTAAGGCAGCTTTAATTGCCTTTTTGGTAACTTAATGGCTTAACTGACCACGACATTGCATGCACGTAGTTTATTTCGTGCTTTGATTTGAAATGACACAGGCTACAGCGTGCGCCGGCGCCTTTGTGCATGCTACTGAAGATCGAACACAGTACTGTTTCCGTGCTCGTTTGACTCGCGCCTAGTGCTGAGGTGAAGCTGGAGCACGCATCTGAAACGTCTCATGTTTGATGTGGTCGTAAAGACGTTCTGGGACTGAATAAATGCACTTCTGGTCAAGATAAAAAGTGACAGAAACAGCAGTTGTGAGTGGGGTGGCTCACCCTAGCCCCGCACCTGATCACCAGTGAGGTGTGTACTTTCAGTATGCACATTAATCTGCATGACATGATTGTGAGCTCACATAAACGCAGGATCCGTTGTGCTGGTAGGTGTTGAGCGGACAGTGGCAGCCCTCCTCACAGCCCTCAGAATAACAGCCCTCGTGACCGCTGACCTGAGAACAGCTGAACGGACAGCCTTCACCGCGCTCACACTCCCGATAGAGACGGCCGGGAGGACAGCCCACCTCTGACCGACACACACATACACACACACACATGAATATATATCACAAACATATAAGAAAAGCAGTCAGAGTTTGGTTTAAAATGACTATTTGATGAGAATGAGCTATAAAGCAAAACCCCCTGAAAGTCATTATACAATTCAAACACTAGCTAAAATATTGAAATATGCAAATGCACACAGAATACGGCTCAAGGACAGGCACTTTTCTCGTAATAGATCTCTAAAAATGGCTGATGTGAATTTGCAGGGGATTTGGAGAGAAGATCACAGGGGATGCTGGGACATTTCACTTTTAAATGAGGACAGTGTCTTATCCGGAGCTCTGAGACCTTCACGCTCACTGAATATTTAATTAGATGGGGCTTACAGTCCACAAAACTACCTGTTTGAGAGCACTTCCTGCTGTCACAGGATCACCGCTCACGGAGGAAGGTTCAATATATAATCACAGGATGAATCTGAGGTATGTTCTTGAAGCCCTCACATCGTGTTTCACAACAAACATGATTTTAAAATGCTTTCTGAGAAGAAAACAAACCAATTTCATGAAGGATTTAAGCTGCTTTGAAATCCTGGTCCGTGTCTGTAACACTAAAAAGCTGCTGTGTGCAGAGGCAGGAAGCCATTAAAGTCAATTTGACTCAAATATCCTGTGATTTCTCCATCTGGCTGGTTTTTGAAGGGACTTTACTGCCTGTGAAATCCCACAATCCTTTGTGTGCAAGTTTAGTAATGGGTTGAAAGAATAAAAATAGCATCTAACAAGCTGGTTAACACTTCATTCAGAAGTTCATTGTATTTATACTTTTTTTTCCCCCAACTTTTATATTTCTACCAAGGAATAAAATGAGATAATTCATTTATTGGTCATTCATTGATTTATTCATTTGTTTATTTATTTAGCATTATTTGTTTGTTTTGAATTATTTTTTTATTTTTTTATTTTTGAATTAAGCCCCAGTCACTCTGACCATCTTAATGGTCATAAAATATGCTTCGTCTCCTTAATTTTGCATTATTTTATTTATTTGTTTGTTTGTTTTGCATCAAGTCCAAATCACACAGATTTTTTTTTACTTTGCATTTATTTGTTTATTTTTGCATTAAGCCGCAATCACACTGACTATCTTAATGGTCCTACAGGCAGGCAGTTTTTTTTTTTGTTGCATTATTCATTTTGCATTATGTATTTAGACTTAAGCGTCCAAAATTAAGCTTTGTTTTCTTTATGCAAAATATAATTTATTTTGGTGGGAAGTATGACCTGGACATGTTTTATGACAAGTTTTGCAAGAAGTTTTTTCTGAAAATAGCTTCCTAAAACTATTATTATTATGACTGACTGCTCAGAGGGAGAGCTGATCGAGTGTTTGTCGTACCCAGACACACTTGAGTGTTACAGGTCTTGCTCTGGCGTCTCATGCCCGAACAGGGTGGTGTCCGGCAGGATCGGCTACGGCTCTGAGACCCTCCTCCACAGCTGACGGTGCAGGCTGACCACGCTGACCAGTCGAACCATGGACCTGAGTCTACAGGAGCCATCATACAGACAGAAAATACAGAGATTCTGCACTCTATATAGAGTATGTGGAAGGTGGCATCGGTCACACTGACTCACCTGTGCAGCTGTGAGTGTTGCAGGCTTTCTGCTGTCGGCCGGATCCCACACACTCTCTGCCGCCGCTCTGAGGGGCGGGGTTATCACACTCACGTGTCCGGATCTTAACCCCGCCTCCACACCGGGCGGAGCATTCCAACCAGGGAGCCCATTGGCCCCAGCTGCCGTCTACATGGCAACCAGGAACTGAGTCACACTGAAGGACACCTGCTTCACAGGTGCTGGAAAAAAGGATCGAAAAACATTCAGACACAGAGATAAAGAAACAATTATAGCTTTGTTTCAGTGTCTAGTGAGCTGCCTTTCCTTACTTTTTTTTTTTTATATATTTATGCCTCTGTAGACAGTATACAGCCCAATAAGGTGAGGGACAATGACTTCCTTAGTGTTTAATAAGCTCACTTTGACACTAAACAAATCGTGCAAAAAGAAGAAAAAGCCCACTGTACCAGTTCTGACAGTCAGTGCTGATGGTCTCTCCTGGAGCCACATGATGCCAGTCTGATGCTTCCGGCCTTGACCAGGAAACATTGCCTGTGTCTATTCCTGCGGAGACAGAAAGTGTTTTGCATGTCATTTCAGTGTGTAAAACTTCTATATAGTTCTCTATTTATTTAAGGGTTTGTTTTGGTGTAGTTTTAAAGTAATGTTATAATGTTAGTGTTATCATTAACTAACAAAAATTACATTAATTAAACTATATGAAATATTTAACAGAAATAAAACAGAATATAAAAAACTTTAAATTATTTTATTTCAGTTAGTTGTGAAGGCAAAAATGACTGAAACTGAAATAAAATCCATAAAAACGAAGTTGTCATATTTAACAAAATGTCACACAAAATAACTAAAACTTTCATTTAAATTAACAAAAAACTTTAACAAAATCTAAAAACAAATTAAACATGAACAGAAATAAAATAATATATTTCTATATTTTTTGTTTGGTTTAAGTTAAAGTACTAAAATGACTAAAACTAAAAGTTAAATAAAAATGAAAAGTGAAACAAAAACATAATTTAAAAAAAATTACAAATTACAAAACAGCACAAAATGACTAAAACTTTAACTTCAATTAAGTAAAAACTATAATTTTTATTTGATGTTAAGTTAAAGTACTAAAATTACTAAAAAACTAAGATTGAAATAAATTATAAAAGAAATAAATTAATTAGAAATAACAAAACTAAAACTAAAAAAGGAAATAATAAAAACAACAACTAAAACACACAACAAAATGACTTTAACCAAACTTTAATTAAAATTAATGAAAAAAAAATATATATATAAAAAAAAAAAACATGAAATGAAATAAATTAAACATTAACAGAAACAAAATAGAATATAAAAAACTAAAACACACTACCAAATAACTCAAACTTAAAATAACCTAAAACTTAAAATATATATATATATAAAAAAAAAAATCAAAATAAATAATAAACAATTATAGTAAAGTAACTACTAAAATAATACAGACTGAAAGAATATTTGTGTTGTGGCCGCAGCACTGAGCATCTCTTCTGAAGGTGTTCATACTGTACCTGCGCTGATGTTGTGATATTTACAGCGGCACAGCTCTCGGTCCACACACAGGCCGTCCTGCAGCAGCATGTCTCCTGGACACCCGCAGGTCGAGCTGCATCCCGGTGAGTCCACACACTCCGTGTCTCCGTGCAGATCGGAGCAGGAGCGCGGACAGGGCTTCCCGCAGGGCCACTGCTCCTGTCCTCCTCCACAGTCTGCAGACGAGGATAGAAACACGATCACTACAGGAGTCTGGAATAGATTCTGATGTTCATATGACTGTAGAATCAGCTGACCTGAGCAGACGGTGATGTTATCATGACAGCCGCGTCTCTGCCGACTCTCTCCGAGGCAGGACAGACCGCCGAACCGCGCCGGAGGACTGTTACACTGCCTCTGTCTCACAGACACACCGGCACACGCGTCACAGTCCGACCACGAGCTCCAGGAGCCCCATGAGCCGTCAACTACACAGACACACACACACACACACACACACACACACACACAGAGATCAGGGATGTTTCACTGCATTAGTATTGATGGCAAGTCATGAACTTTTAGATCATTTTTATAAACTAAACTATGAGGGCTGTAAATAGATTAATCTCATGATCTTTTGCAGCTAACATCTAGAATTTGTTGAAATTGGGCCCTAAATACATAAAATGTAATGCTGAATCAAAATGTTCATGTCTTCACATCTACATCTCATCTGATGATCTTTTCCATGAGGCTGAACATGTGTCATACGTAGTATTCAGATCTTAACGCTTTAGATCTTTTGTTTAACAGTTTGCATATACACTACAGTTTTTCAAACAAATCAATACTTTTATACAGAAAAGACACCTTAAATTGATCAAAAGTGACAGTAAAGAAATTTATGTTACAAAAGATTAATGTTTCAAATAAATGCTGTTCATTTTAACCTTCTGTTCAAAGAATCCTGAAAAATAAATTGTCACAGTTTTCACAAAAATATTGTGCAGCACGACTGTTTTCAACATTGATAATAATCAGAAATGTTTCTCGAGCAGCAAATCAGCATATTAGAATGATTTCTGAAGATCATGTGACACTGAAGACTGGAGTAATGATGCTGAAAATACAGCTTTGTGTCACAGAAATAAATGACATTTTACAATATATTTACATAGACAGTTACTTACATAACAGTTATTTTAAATTGTAATAATATTTCACAATATTACTATTTTTATTGTATTATTGATCAAATAAATATATAAATAACAGAAAGTTACTCCAATTAAAAATTCAACTACTATTCAATTTATAATCACATTAAAAATATTTGTTTTATTTTTATCATAATTTCTGTATTATCAATTATTGTTTATAAAAACATATTTTGCTTTAATGTTGTTATTTTATTTATTTAAAACTGTTTTTTACATATACATATGCTTTGACTTTTTTTCAAATGGCATATTTGTCTATTTATCTATCTACTGATTTAACAATTTCTCAAATGATTTATCATACTGATTTCTCAAATGTGTCATTTCAAATTAGGTCAATACTTGAAGTAAACTGAATCTCATTAAACACATTAAGTCATTAAGTCAGCTGTTGTATTAGTCGCTGTATTCGTCTGGTTTGATGAATGTCTCACTGGGGCAGAAGGAGACGGATGGGCACGGCTGTCTCTGGATCTGGACTCCCAGTCCGGCGTGTTCCTCCTGCTGGTCTGGACACGCCGCTCCTCCTGATCTGGGTTCAGGACAAGCGCAGCTCCTGTAGCGGGACACCCACTCCATCCCACAGGTCTTTGAGCAGGGCGTCCATTCGGACCACTGACACCAGCCTCCATCCACTGACACACACACGAACACACATCACAATCTAATAACCCACACAGATGACTGAGATTATTATGGGCTGAAGGGACAAACCTGGACACGGCTGTTCACCGCAGACGAGTCTCCCTCCCTCACAGGTGCTGGAATGTCACCAAACACGTATCAATCACATGATCTAAATCAAAGCAGACGTGTGTCTCTATGATTCTCACCAGTTGTTGCAGGCGTCTGGAGTCGGGACGGTCTCTCCGGGACGGACCCGTTGTCCTGTGTGCAGGTTCAGACAGGGACATGTGTCCCGGTTCACACACTCCGTCCCATTTGAGTCCAGAACTTTACCATCCGTGCAGTAACAGCCCGGCTCACAGTGCCATTCGCAGTACTGCACACACACACATTTTAACAATTTATTTAAGTCCACTTAAAAGAAATAACTTACAAGGATGTAAATATTATAGATGCAGTTAGATACATGTATAAAATCATGGACCAATGGCATGCAACAGGTCTTCACAATATTAAGCATATCACTCAGTTGTTATGGGTATAAATAACAGCGTCTCCGCCATATATGACGGCTGCCTATGATAGAAGACAAAGCACAGCACTTTGCTAGCTGTTTAGCCCTCTTTTTGGGCATCCTAACTTGTTGAAGCCCCCTTACAACCAGCCTGTGTGTGTGTCCTAAGCTGCCAAATATAAAAACAAGTAATCGGCCTCTATAACCTATCTCTGAAATGGTATTTAGGAGTGGTTGATATTTAATGACTTTAGTCATGAAAGCTTCCTCCATACTAGAGTCAAAGGTGCATGCAACCTATGTATTTATATATTCATATTAAATGCATTATTATTAAATGCATAATACAATTAATCATTAGTAATTAATTATTAAAATATATGAATATTTATATTTTTCAATTATTTTGCTCTTTCCATCTATAAAATATATTCATAAATGTATATATTTGTATTATATCTATAAATGTATATATTCATGTTATTTTTAAATGCATAATAAAACTATCTATAAAATATATTAAAATATTTTATATGTACTATATATTTACATTATATGTATTATTCTTACATGCATATTAAAACAAATATTATTAATTGTTAAAAGAGAATAAAATATACATTCTGTTTCCAAAGATTTTATTCTATCTCTCTCTCTATAAAAGTTTTATAAAAAAAAATTTATTTAGATATCATTATGTACACTGCAAAAAATGCTTTTCTTACTTAGATTTTTTTCTTGTTTCCAGCCAAGATATCTAAAAATTCTTAAACCAAGATGGATTTTTCTAGACAAAGATAAACAATCTATCTATCTATCTATCTATCTATCTATCTATCTGTCTGTCTGTCTGTCTGTCTGTCTGTCTGTCTGTCTGTCTGTCTGTCTATCTATCTATCTATTGTTCTATCATTCTATCGTTCTATCTATCTTAAAATATATTATTAGAAATATATTAACATATTTTATATTTACTTATTCATATTACATGTATTATTCTTAAACGCATAGTAAAAATAGTATTAATTGTTAAAAAACAATATATATTGTCTTTAATTATTTTATATTTATCTATAAAATATATTAGCATTTTATATGTATTTACAGTGTATATTCATTTTATCATTAAATGCACAATGAAATTTCAATCTATCTATAAAATTTATCAACATTTATTAACATATTCATATATGTATTACCGGTATAATCTATCCATCCCTTCCATTTACTTTCATATTACAAATACACTATAAAATACACAGATTTTTAACTTCATATGACGTTTAATTCTTTTACTCACAGTGAGGTCGTCACATGATCGTGGACACGAGGGTCCGCAGGCGCTGAACACACTTCCTGGCACGTGTGAACATGAAGACACTAGAGACAGAGTTCAGAGTTAATATCTAATATACATGTGAACACACACTCACTCACACACACACACGCACACACACACGCACACACACACACGCACTCACACACACGCACTCACACACCCGCACACTCTTGTTGTGTTTCCATGTTTTACATGGGGACATTCCATAGGCGTAATGGTTTTTCTACTGTACAGACCGTATATTCTATTGCCCTACACCAACCCTACCCCTAAACCTACCCCTTACAGGAAATTTTGTGCATTTTTACTTTCTCAAAAAAACTAATTCTGTATGATTTATAAGCTTGTTTCCTCATGGGGACCTCAAAAATGTCCCCACAAGGTCAAAATTTACTAGTATTACTATCCTTGTGGGGACATTTGGTCCCCATAACGTGATAAATAC